AAATCTTGTAAAAATATTTTGTATTCTTCATTTTAAGATTTAAGTGTTCAGAGCTGATTTCTGTTCTCTATTAGTCCCAGAATATGTCAGCAGAGGTGGCTTTAGAGGTTTTTTTCTTTGTGCATATTTTTTTTAAGATACATACTACATGTAGCAGGATTAGTGAATTATGAATACATTTACAGGCAATGGTGAAAGAGAAGAACATCAGTTATCTGTGACTGTAGTTTTGCATTTGATTGAACAAATGATTGGATGCCAGAAAGATGAAATATTCTACAGCTATCATATTTTGCTACAAATAACTTACATGTCAGTCTTTTGTGAAAATTTTATGCATCTACATGTTACTTTTTTCATTGTATGTTTTTCTGACTGCTATGGCATAAAGATGTATGAAATTATTTTAACTTTGTCTTAGATGACATTCTGATCCTGTCTTAAAAGGTAGCATTTTTTTTAGCACGCTATGCATTAAACCAGAAATATGTCAAGTAATCACTTATGAATGGAGAAGTCAGTCTTATATGTTATAAGGCACTCTGTTCTTGCACCCGAGGGAAGGTGCCCTAAAGTACTTCAGCTGATTATAAAAGAGCTAAGTTTGCTTCTAATATACTAATATAATGTATATCAGTAGCTGTGGGTTTTTTATGTCTCTTCATAATTGTGTATTACTGCTATCATTGGACTCTGAACAGTAGCAGAACTTCAGAGATGAAAATCACATTTCTGAAGTTTGATTACTAGAGGCTGTTAGAAACCATGGTGAGAAATGTGGGTTAAAAAAAAGACTGAAGAGAAAAAAGTGTATATGGACTTTGCATCTAAGGTATATTTACCTATTTAAGCTTTTTGTTTAGTGTTTGTTTTAGGCAGACCCATACTTCTGAAACTAAGAAACTGAAGGGTTTCTTGGATACTAATAAAACTAACACTTTCAGCTTAGGAAATATTTCTTTTTACCAAATGTCTTCAAGGTATTTTTATATTTCTGCAGGACACTTTATACGAAAAAAATATATAAGGGAAGTTTTGTATGGAGAAGTAATCTCTGTTAATAGTCTAGTTTATGTAGTTGTGGAGAAAAAAAGTTTTTGAGATCACAGTCTCCTCAGGTCTAGAAATAGGAAGCAGTAAATTTTGAGGTAAATATAGTTCAAGAATAATTCCTCTGAAATTAATTTTGCTAATCGATTAGACAATTTCGAGAAGAGGTAACAAGCCTAAAATGCTAAAATTACATTAATTTCGACAGTGCAAACTGACCAATGCAACACAAATATCCAGAAATTTCTGTACCACCTGGTTTGCCAAGAAATTGATTTGCATAGATGTGTTGTCCGCTGATGGAATTCTGTTGACCTCAAACGGGACCTTCTACTGCGGCGGACACCAGCGTACAGCTGCCTTTGCGGGAAGAGACCTCTGTGAATGCTGGCAGGCACGCAGGGGATGGGTTCATTTGCTTTTTTGGATCATCCTTTGTTGTTCTATCAGTGACAAACTGAAGCTGATTTTATGCCCAGCAACTTGTCCTAGATGGTTTTGCGTATCAGAACTCAGGCAGTGTTTCGGGTTTGTGTGGCGGGCTTTGGGCAGTGGCGGGGAGCAGGCTGCAGGGCCGGCTCCTGTGAGAAGCTGCTAGAAGCTTTGCTGGCTCCAAGTCGGACCTGCCGCTGGCCCAGGCCGAGCCCGTCAGCAACAGTGGTAGTGCCTCTGGGAGAACAGATTTAAGAAGGGGAA